TTTCCTCCTTTTCCTCCTTTTCCTCCTTTTCCTCCTTTTCCTCCTTTTCCTCCTTTTCCTCCTTTTCCTCCTCCTCCTCCTCCTCCTCCTCCTCCTCCTCGCGTCCCTCCTTCTGCCCCCTGCCCCCATCCCCGGGGGCCGGGGGCCGCCCGAGCGGGGGGAGCGCGCGGCTGGGGCCGCGGCTGAGCGTGCCGTTCCCCTCCTCGGCACCGGGGAGGGGGGGGGGACTAGGAGGCAGCTGCTGGAAAATTTGCGGGGCTGCTGCGCCGGTCCAGGCCGCGGAGCACCCCTGACCTTCCAGAGCGCTAACAAAAATGGCACTGCAGACCTACAGACCGATCTGGACTGCTCAAGTGCGAGGCGGGGGTTTATCCAGGTCCACCGCCTGGGAACCGACGTCCTGGTGCCCCAGCGGGCGGCGGATATGGATATAGTTTGGCCCCCGGGGGGCCCGAATATATTTATACTAGAACCATCGCGCGCGCTTCGCGCGCGCTCAAGTTCTAGCTAGGCTCGACAGGCTAACGCATGGAATATCAATTCTCGAAGTGCCTTGTGCATCTAACGACCTCATCGGAGTCCCTGCGCAAGCCTCGGAAGCGTGGCGCCCAGGACACCACGGCTTCAACCGCGAGCGCCCCCTCGGGATCGATGTTCGAAGGTCCCGCGGCCTCCGGAGGCCAAAACAGGAGGAGGCGGAGGGCGAGGAGGACGAGGAAAGGATGGAGGAGGCACCGCTTCAACCTCAAGCGCCAGCCCCTGACACTCCCCCCTTGGCCGCGAGATGCGGCCGGGGGAGCGCCCAGGACACCTCGGGGGCCTTCGGTGGGGCCACGAAACGTGTGAGGGGTGTGCCGAAATGGGCGTGCGTGGAGCATGCGGGCGGTGGCACTGGGGCCTTCGGTGGAGCTCCATAGGAGTGGGTGAAACGCAGGGAGGAGGAAGGGAGAGGATGAGGAGGGAGGAGGAAGGAAGGAGGGAGGGAGGGAGGGAACGCGGGGACCGCCTCTTAAAAACGATAAACCCAACACCGCAGGATGGTTGGAACAAAGATCTAAAAATACTCCAGAAATCGTCCCAGACTATTGTTTTACTATGCTTGATCTTTTCTCCTGTAGAGGGACACACCCGACTTAAGTCTACGAGCCATATTGGGCCGTCTCGGAGCCATCTTGAAGGGTCTTGTGGGTTCTAGTCGACTGTCTTGGGCATCCATTGGGCTCATCGACGACCGCTTGTGGACCATCATGAAGCCTCAGAGGCCCCTGGGAAGCGATTAGGCGAGATCTTGGCAACCAGTGGTTGTCCTGAGGTGCTTGAGAGCATCAGTTGGCCTCTCGTGGGCCTGGGGTTCTTGGGAGCCTCTCGTGGGCCTCTTGGGGGCGTCTTAGGCCGAGAAGCAGGGTAAGAGAAACAAAAAGAGGGGGATGTGAATCGGAAAAAGAGGAGGACCAAGAACAGGAGAGAGAGAGGAATAACAGAAAGCGAGGGATGGGAGAGACAGAAACGCATTCTGCGCACGAAACAAAGGCGCACTAGTCCGCCGCAGACCCTAACGCCTAACGCCTGCCATTCTTGGCAGCGTGTTCTAAAGCACGCACGACCTCATAGTCGTTCTTCAACGCGTTCTGCAGGAGCTGCTTCCCCTTGGCACTGAGGTACGTCTTGTGCTGGAGGGGGTATTCACCCTTGTCATGCGGAATTTCGGCAGGCGCCTCAAACCCCAGACGCCCAAACACCTCATTGAGATCGTGAGCGATCGTCTCCGAGCGAATCAAATACAACTCTTGTGCGAGTACGCACTCGAGATCGTGTTCGAAATAATAGTAGAAGCCTTTACCGACGTGCTCAGAATAGATGGGCTTCTCAAGCGCTCGGCGGGCAATGCTACCGCATTCGCTCTGGTCCTGCAACGATTCGGCAAACTCGTTGACTTCTCGGAAGCAACGATAGAACTGCTGCTCTTGCTTATCTTGGGCGAATCCCGACTGCCCGTGTGGCGCATCTCCGTTTAGGGGGCTTCTCCAATTGAAGGCCGATACAACACGGGAAAGCGGGTCCCGGACAGAAACAATCCACGTGCGTTGCTCGTATGGGCGGCAATTGTCGACCTGCCGAATGTGGATCTCGTGGAAAGGGGTTTGCTTATGGAGGGCCATACTGATTGAACTGCCTGCACACTTACCAACATGCACAAACTGCACAGAAGAACTGACTGACCGCCATGACATATTATCTTGCATCTGACGGCACTCAGAAACAATACGTGCCAAATCTTCGACATGCAAGCTCTCATCGCCCCAGTCGGGCCCCCCACTTTCGATGTCATTGCACTCAGGATCGGTATCCATCTTACCTTCGGGATCAGGAGCCACATCGAGACCCGTGCGGGGCTCTGCTTTCGAAATCAAGGATACGGCGGAGGCCAAAATACTGCCGCTCAATGCAAATATCAAACATTCGATCGCCCTCGCGAGCACCATTGTGAGTGCCGGAATGCTTGCTTCGGCTGAGGTGCTTGGCGCGAGCGTAAAGAATCGAATTCGTGAGAATTTAAGGATATTGAGTGTACTACGATGACCACAGCTTGGGTCGAAGAACTACGGACCGTATTCGAGCACTTGTGGGCCACTCTCGGCGTCCCGGACGACCCCAAAGAGCCCCAGACGAACATCCGTTTCCCGGCAAACCGGGCCAGCTCCCAGATCGTCATCATCATCAGCATCCTCATCATCATCATCATCAGCAGCAGCATCAGCAGCAGCATCATCATCACTAGCATCATCATCATCATCATCATCATCAGCAGCAGCAGCATCAGCATGATTCCGATCACCACCATCATGATCAGCAGCATCATCACAGCATCGTCGACAGCATCCTCAACCTCATCATCAGCAGCACCGTCATCAGCATCATCATCGTCATCATCAGCAGCAGCATCCTCATCATCGTCATAATGATCAACCTCAGCATCATCAGCAGCATCAGCATCATCATCAGCATCACCCGACCCCCCTCCCTCCCCTCTTCTTCCCTCCTCGTGCAAAGGGGGAAAAGGAACGGGGGCGGTCCTGGCGGCACACGGGCCCAGCGGGGCCCCAGGCAGAGCCAGCCCGCCGAAGGCCCTGGTGCCTCGAACATCATGACTTGGGGAAATATCCCCCACCGACACAGGATCGAGGACGAAGAGGACGGGCATCGAGCAGCTCAGGGCACGCGTCTCCAATGGCACAGGAACAAGCGAGAGAGATCGGGCTACGTTCGCTCTGAAAGGTAACGACCTGTACGACCACCCTTCGGATGATAAAGAGGTTGGGGGTGGGGGGGGAAGAACCAACAGCTGGCAAATGCGATGGGCATAATGATGACGATGCTTGTGACGCGCCATTGAGTTAGCGACGACGCGTGATGACGATGCTGCGCTGCGCTGTCGATCTCACTCGATCAATCCCCCTAGCGACCTCGCGGCGAGTATTAGTACCAGTGGGTTCAGCGATCAATCCCATTGTGCTCGCCCCAGGGCGCCTGTCCCCGCGAGACCTGCGCGACCCAGGGGACGCCGCCTCCCTGCGTATCCGACAGCGTGAGCACAACCGATTTCATGATACATCTCACTGTAGATCTCACTGTCACGATCTCGTTCCATCCCACTCTAGCGATCTCATCATCGATCTCACCAACCGAGATGGATCTTTGAAAACCCACGACAGTGGAAACGAAGTATCATTTCGACGCCCCAATTGATGGACCAGGGCCCCACCAAATGCGGAAAACACGTTTGTCTCCGTAACACCCGCGGCGCAACAACGACGACGACCACGACTACAACTACGACTGCGATTGCGACTGCAACCACGACTACGCTCACGACCACAATTGCGCTTCCAATCACAAGGTTAATCGCGATTGCAATCACAACTGCAATCACGCCTACAACCACAACGAAACCAGTGCGGCAATTCGCGGATGCCCTCCTGAATTCCTCGGGAAGGTGTTTTGGGAAGGTGAAATGTTGGACAACCTTCCAAATTATCCTGGCGAAGGACCCAACCATAAGCAATTGTTCGTAACGCGTTGTGGGCGCCGCTTTCGGTGGGGCTCCCTATGGGGCCACGAAGCGCTGCCTTGGGTGGGGGAACCGCATGCGAACTGCGCCACTGGGGCGGGCCTTCGGTGGAGCTCCCTATGGGGCCACGAAACGCTGCCCTGGGTGGGGGAACCGCATGCGAACTGCGCCACTGGGGCCTTCGGTGGAGCCCCCTATGGGGCCACGAAACGCTGCCCTGGGTGGCGGAACCGCATGCGAACTGCGCCACGGGGGCCTTCGGTGGAGCCCCCAATGGGGCCACGAAGCGCTGCCCTGGGTGGGGGAACCGCATGCGAACTGCGCCACTGGGGCCGTCGGTGGAGCTCCCCATGGGGCCACGAAACGCTGCCCTGGGTGGGGGAACCGCATGCGAGAGCAGCCACTGGGGCCTTCGGTGGAACTCCCTATGGGTATGGGGCCACGAATGCTGCTTTGGGTACGGGAACCGCATGCGATCTGCGCCACTGGGGCCTTCGGTGGAGCCCCCTATGGGGCCACGAAGCGCTGCCCTGGGCTGGGGAACCGCATGCGAGAGCAGCCACTGGGGCCTTCGGTGGAGCTCACGATGGGGCCACGAAACGCTGCCCTGGGCTGGGGAACCGCATGCGAGAGCAGCCACTGGGGCCTTCGGTGGAGCTTCCTATGGGGCCACGAAACGCTGCCCTGGGCAGGGGGGGCACATGCGAGAGCAACCACTGGGGCCTTCGATGGAGCTCCATGTGGGGCAACGAAACGCTGCCCTGGGCGGGGGAACCGCATGTGAGAGCAGCCACTGGGGCCTTCGGTGGAACTCCCTTTGGGGCCACGAAACGTTGCCCTGGGTGGGGGAACCGCATGCGAGAGCAGCCACTGGGGCCTTCGGTGGAGCTCCCCATGGGGCCACGAAACGCTGCCCTGGGTGGGGGAACCGCATGCGAGAGCAGCCACTGGGGTCTTCGGTTAAGCTCCCTAAAGGGCCACGAAGCGCTGCCCTGGGTGGGGGAGCCGCGTGCGAGAGCAGCCACTGGGGCCTTCGGTGGAGCTCCCTATAGGGCCACGAAACGCTGCCCTGGGCTGGGAAACCGCATGCGAGAGCAGCCACTGGGGCCTTCGGTGGAGCTTCCTATGGGGCC